TAATAATAATAATAATAATAATAATAATAATAATAATAATAATAATATATGGAATAGTAATGCTCTGATGGTCATTTTGAAAAATCCTTTCTTAGTAAGCACCTAGGAGCCAAGAGGAAGATAAGTGCCAAATGTCAAGTTTGTAGGCTTTACGATTCTGGAGATTTTGTGATGATGCGCGAGTGGTCTTTCGCTTTTATATATAGAGAGATGACCCGTTCAGACGCCTTCGCTTTTAATGCAAAGTTCTGAATTTCTCTATCCTTCATATATTAAGTCATGGACACCCATAAGCCTACGGCCATCCTACCCTGAACACGCCCTGTTCTATTCTAATTCCCAAAATCGCAGCATCCACAGCTCTCTAGAAGCAAGGAGTTCCACTGGCCGAAGGGGACTAAAGCTACATTCTCTGTCCACCTGGACTTGCATCCACAAGTCTTCAAGGGCAGCAAACGGGACCTCTCATCCTCCCTTGCGAGAACCCTTGCAGGAGACATCGGGATAGGACATGATGACGAGCTGGCCAGGACTGTGCGCTAAATAGACCACGGGGCCAAAGATGCTGGAAGGACTCTTGAGAAACTCAACATGTAAGAGCGGGAAATTCTGCATAGCTGGAATTTTGCAGTAATTGGTTGTTTAGGCTTAATGGTGAACGAACTCTTGAGACAGGACCTTGGCAGCAACACCAACCCCTTGAGATCTTCCACCTTTTAAGGATGCTCACAAGGGGCCGTTAAGCTACAACCGCAGCTGCTGGGTTAGAAAGCCATGTCACTTCAACATCTGTTTATTGGCAACCACCCCGTTTCTCCTAAAATAGCCAAATCTCCTTCCCTCGAAGTGATTTCCATTGGCTTCAACGGGAAGCAGAGGGAGTTGGGTAGTCCCCAAACTTCCGGAGATGGAGGTTGTTGCTTTGGGTAGGTTGGAAGGGGTAGGTCCTTTAAGAGAGGCCCTTCCTTGAATGTTGAACTTGGGTTCTGAGTTTCCATCTCATGGTGGTTGGCTGATTATTCAGACTTGTGGAACTCCCAACACTTCCTGGCTGGTGCAGCTGAGTCAAGCCAAGGCGGGCAAAGAGTCCTCCAGAAGTCACATGGATTCTCCAGCCCCATATGCCGAACCTGTGTTCCAGGACGGTGAGTGAAGAGGACGCCACGAAGAAGAGGAAGGGGCCAAGCTATTCCCCAAAGCACCAGAAGGCAGGACAAGAAGCAACGGATGGAAACTAATCCAGGAGAGAAGCAACTTAGAACTAAGGAGAAATTTCCTGACAGGGAGGACAAGTAACAAGTGGAACAACTTGCCACCAGAAAGTGTGGGTGCTCCAATACTGGAGGTTTTTAAGAGCCATTTGTTGTGTTATTCTGTTTTCTGATTCTGGTTGGTGTCATCTGCCTAGAGGCTTAGATGCTCTTTGAAATCAAGCTCTACGATTGGTGATGTATAGAAATAGAATAGAATAGAAATAGGATAGGATAGGATTGGATAGGATAGGATAGGATAGGATAGGACAGGACAGGACAGGACAGGACAGAATAGAATAGAATTTAATAGAATAGAGTAGAATAGAACAGAATAGAGCTGGAAGGGACCTTGAAGGACTTCTAGTCCAGCCCCTTGCCCAAGCAGGAGATCCTATACCATTTCAGACAAGTAGCCATCCAGTCTCTTCTTAAAAACCTCCAGTGATGAAGCACCCACCATTTCTGGTGGCAGGTAGTTCCACTGGTTAATTGTCCTCCCAGTTAGGAAGTTTCTCCTTAATTCCATGTTGCTTCTCTCCTTGATGAGTTTCCATCCATTTCTCTTTCTTTCTTTCTTTCTTTCTTTCTTTCTTTCTTTCTTTCTTTCTTCCTTCCTTCCTTCCTTCCTTCCTTCCTTCCTTCCTTCCTCCCTCCCTCCCTCCCTCCCTCCCTTCTCTCCTTCTTTCCTTCTTTCCTTCCTTCCTTGTTCCAGAATCATAGGGCTCCAAGAGATCTCAGAGGTTATCTATTCCAACCCCCTGCTGAAGCAGGAGACCCCATACCATCTCAAACAAGTGGCTGTCCAGTCTTTCCTTAAAAACCGCCAGTGAAGTTTCTCCTCAATTCCAGGTTGCTTCTGATGTCGGAATCCTAAATATTTCACAACCAGACATTGGAATCAGTGAGGGTTTGAGAATCCTTGAGAAGCTGACCGAGATGTTCTCGCCCGGGCAAAATCTAAATTAGCAGAACCTTGAAAAAAATAATAATAATCCAAGGCTGATTTCTGTAAAGACCCTCCCAGAGCCTGGTGGGAAGAAGATTTTTCCTCCCCAAAACAGACCCACCTGAGCAGAAGAGTCTTCCAAGGTTAAATCATCGCTTGTTCTACCTCAGTCGCTGGGAGTCAGGCAGCATAAAATTGAATAAATTATTATTATGGTAATTCTGTCCAACCTAGAAAATAATAGACTGAATATTTTCACACTCCTTTGCTTTGACTTTGGAATACGTCTGTTGATTGTTCTCCCTCTTCTCGGCTGAGAAGTTTGGAAGGAGAAGAAAGCTGGTAACGCACACAATTATTGCTTCTAAACGATGGGTGGGAAAATCTACTTGTCTTTCTGCGATTTGTAATATCACAACAGGCATGCCAAAAATTTGAGATTTTGACTCCCGTTGGCTGGAGGAGATGAAAACCATCAGTTCTCTTGTAGTTGGCTGTCCTTGTAGTTGGCCGTCCTTCTCATTCATTCTTGTTTCTTTCTTTTTCCCCAAGGAAGGGGAGAAATTCGGGAGATAGTATCAGAGGGAAGGGCGACAAAGGTTCCATATCCTGAATTATTTTGCCAGACTCTTTAAAAATTCCCTCGTGTGAATTTTTAGTTTCACTTCATCACCACACTGCTGCTGGCTAAGGCCAGCTCTATTAATAGGTAGCCAGCAAGGATGATTCTTGGTTATGGTTTTGGGTTGCCACGTCGGAACCGTGGATGAAGGAAGCAACATTTGTCTATGGAGATTCTCAATCATCCAGGTCATGGTTGTCCCAATGGTGCTTTTTTTCAAAAGGCAACTGGACTTTTGTTTTTCCTTGAGTGGATTGAAAGGGTGTGCCAGAACTGAACAAGCTTCTGGGATGAGAAGAGAAACGTCTTCAAGGGTAGTCAGAACCTGAGGAAGCTTCTGTGATGAGAAGCAAAACATCTTCGAGGGTTGTCAGAACCTGAAGAAGCTTCTGTGATGAGAAGCGAAACATCTTCAAGAATAGTCAGAACCTGAAGAAGCTTCCGTGATGAGAAGCGAAACATCTTCAAGGGTAGTCAGAACCTGAAGAAGCTTCTGTGATGAGAAGCAAAACATCTTCTACAGTAGTCAGAACTTGAAGAAGCTTCTGTGATGAGAAGCGAAACATCTTCAAGGGTAGTCAGAACCTGAAGAAGCTTCTGTGATGAGAAGCGAAACATCTTCATGGGTAGTCAGAACCTGAAGAAGCTTCTTGGAAGAAAAGTGAAACATCTTCAACAGTGGTGGGATTCAAACATTTTTACCAGTGGTTCTACAAGAGTGTGCTTTGTGTGCGTGCAGTGTTCAAAACACAATATCAAGCACTACAGCTTACCTTCTAGGGCAGTGGTGGCTAACCTTTTTGGGCTTCTGTGCCAAAAATTGCACATGTGTGTGCTCGCGTGCCAGCACCAAGAACACAATGCGTGCGCCTCCCCATGCCCCTTGTGCATGTGAACGCAATCCCCTCCCACCGCCCCATTCCCTGCACTGCACAAATTATGCGCCTCCCAGCTGATTTGGGGGCTTTTTCAGCTTCCTAGAGGCTTGAGGGAAGCCTCTGCAGCTTTTGGAGGCCAAAAAAATGGGCCCCGTTTTGTCACTTCCGGTATTTCCAAAGATACAGGAAGTGATGAAACAGGCCTTCCAAAGGCTGCAGAGGCTTCCTTTGAGCCTCTGGGAGGCCGAGAAAGGCCCAAAAATCAGCTGGGAGGCATGCGCGTGCACAGTGAAGTAAGTTTGCCTGGGGCTCGCGTGCCTGCACAAATGGCTCTGTGTGTCACCTGTGGCACACATATCATAGGTTCACCATCACGGTTCTAGGGCATCTCCGGTAAGTAAAACAGCTGAGGCGTGGGAATCCACCATGCCGTGTGAATCAGCTGAGCTGAAAAAATGCAGAAATATAGGACAGGAGTGAGTGGATGGGGGCAGGTGATCGTTGGAGCTACCAGTTTGGGAGAACCTGTCCAAACCGGCAGCATCCCATCACTGGCCTTCAAGGAAAAAACCCCAGTCCAGCTGCCTTTTTTTAAAAAGCACCTTTTGGAGAAACAATATTTGGTTTTAGTATCTAGCAAACAAAATCCACTTCTTTCAGGGGATGAGAAGAGGGAGGGAAACTTGACTTGCTCCAAACCTTCTTTCAAATAAGTGGACGGTTGTCTTTATAACTCATCCTTTCTTCCTTCTTCTAGATGTGGACGTCCTTCAGAGGTTGGGCCTGGTGGGACCAAGGACCTCCAACTTGTCGCACTCTGTTCCTCAGGGAGTCGTCCCCTTCAGGTTGGGAGTCATCCTCACCCAGCAGGCACGCATCGAAGTGCCCTCCAGCTCGGTTATTCCTGTCTCTGTTGGCCCAGACTTGACTCTTGTGTTGAGCGTGTGTTCCCTCCGTGTCAACAGCGCTTTTTTATTCACCGTCAAGAGCAAAAGGAAGAAATTGCAATTGGGGGTTCAGTTTCTGCCCGGCAAGTTGGTTGTCTACGTAGGTCACAAGCGCTCCGTCTATTTCGATTACAACGTCCACGACGGGCGGTGGCACAACTTGGCGATCGATATCCGAAGCAGGACAGTCACCTTGGTGACTGCTTGCGGGAAAGAAAAGGTGCACGCAGATTTGTATAATAAAAAAGAGAAGACCTTGGACCCGGAAGGCTCTTTCCTCTTGGGAAGACTCAATCAACGCTCGGCCCAGTTTGAAGGTGCTCTCTGCCAGTTCGATATTTATCTTTCCACCAAGGCAGCTCACGACTACTGTAAGTATCTGAAGAAACAATGCAGACAATTGGATGCCTTTCGACTGGACCTCCTCCCATTTTCCCCGTTGCTGTCCAAAGAACCTAGAACTTCTGAAATGACCCCAAAACAGGTGGACCTCGCAATGATGGGCTTGATGAACCTGACCACTATGAACCCACCCTTGACGGTCTTTAAAACCCCCACTTCTCGAAGGGATAGGAGGTTGCAGGGAGCATCTACCACTGTTCGAGCTCCTAAAGCACCACCAACCATGAAGGTGAGGTCCACCGTGGCTTTGTCTCCCTCTCAGACAATCACAGAAGCGTCGCAACGCATCCGTAATCTCCAACAGAATGCCACCGTGGCACATCCGACTTCCAGAACAGCTCACCGGACAACCGCCAGAGTTTTAGGTGGGTCTTCCACTGTGGAGAAACCTCTTTGGTCAACCCGTCCAGATGTTCTGGCCTTCCCAAACTCAACTGTGAACTTTGGCGTGGTTCCAGATAAGAAAGAGATTAGGAAAATGTCCAAAAAGCCGAGTAGCCAAGGACCAACCATCAGGTCCTCTCGCATGCCAAGCACCACAAAGCCGATGATGAAGAGCAGAAGGAACTCCTCCAGTAACCATTCTCCAGTCCCCACAAAGGAGAAGTTGGAAAAGGTCACCGATGGTCCTGCACCAAAGGAGGTCATGATCAAACCAGCAACGAAGAAATCCAGTCCTACCGTGGCTACTCTCTTCTACACCAAACCAGCACTTGGAGGGCCTTATCCTGTTTATGAAACACATGGACAAAATTCAGATTACATCACTCTGGCTGCTGTAGATGGCTTTCAGGACTTCAACCCCATGGGTCCCACCTTATTTCCGTTTGTTATTGGCCTTCCTGGGTGGAAAGGAGATCCAGGACCCCCGGTAAGTCCATTTTCTTTCCATTATCGCTTGTGCCCAGTAGGCTGCTGGCTGTGAGTTTTGTAACCTCAACCCAGAGGTGACTCAGTGGCTAAGATGTTGAGCTTGTTGATCCGATAGGTCGGCAGTTCAGTGGTTCAAATCCCTAGCGCCGCGTCATGGAGTGAGCTCCCATTCCTTGTCCCAGCTTCTGCCGACCTAGCAGTTCGAAAGCATGTCAAAAATACAAGTAGAAAAATAGGGACCACTTTGGTGGGAAGGGAACAGTGTTCCATGCGCCTTTGAAGGCGTTTAGTTGTGTCGGCCACATGACCACAGAGACGTCTTTGGACAGTGCTGGCTCTTCGGCTTTGTGATGGAAATGAGCACCCTAGAGCCAGAAATGATGAGCACGTAGGTGTGCGGGGAACTTTTACCTTTACCTAATCTCAACCCATTTGGAGAGCACCAGGATGAGGAAAACTTTGGTGACAACCTTTCAATATGTCATGCAAACCCGTTTATCTTCTTGCCATTCTTCTTTGGGCTGCCTTCTAGCCCTGGTCTTTCCTCTTGAAAGCCACATACCAGCCTTCTTAAAAAGCATAGATAGCTTGAGGGACCCAACGGTGCTTTTTTCAAGAAGCGACTGGACTTCCTTTGTTTTTGCTTGAAGAGGTTTTGCTTCTCATCCAAGAAGCTTCCTCAGTTTTGATGGAAGCTTCTTGGATGAGCAGCAGAACATCTTCAAGAAACACCCACCCACCCCCGAGAAAGTCCAGTTGCCTCTTGAAAAAGCCCCTTTGGGACAACCATGACTTGGATGATGGAGAGCCTCCATAGATATTTCCTTCAGCTGTTTATTGTTACGCCGGGACCGATAATAATTTGCCTCTCCCCTTTGGGAGAACCATGACCTGGAGGACTGAGAATCTCCACAGACGTCGCTCGAGGGACTCCTCCAACCCAACTTGAACTAAGTGAGTCAATTTGGAAACTGTCTCCATTGATTTGTGAAGGTTGGTTTGGCTCCCGATGCGAAGTGGAGCTGTGAGGGGGGTGGTGGAATAGAAACGCCTGACCCTTGGCGTATGAGTCATGCATGGGGTTTTGGACATGAATGATGCTGATTTCTCCAGCCTCCTGTGGAACATCTCGAGTGTCAGCTTAGCCAGCCTTCCCATAGCGTTGACCTCTTGGCTATGAAGGGAGCTCAGTGGTGAAGGAGTGATTAGCCGTTGCTTTGGAGTCAGCTTCTTTGACCTCTGCGATATGACTAATCAGGAAGACTCTCTCGGTCTTTCTGTAAGCGCTTTGTTGGATGGAGAGCAGGAAGAGTTCTTGAGAAACCGAACCGCCTAACATTTATTCAGCCAGACAAGACAGTTTTTCAGGATGGAAACCGCTGATAATGAATTGTTCCCTGGGCTGACTAAGAGCTCTGGAATGATGGCCTCCACGCTCTTCCACAAGCATAATCAGAGGAACAACTCTTTCCCAATCTTGCCTTGCTGTATCTCGTCTTGTTCTGACCAAGGCTTCTCCAGACCGTAATTAAGCACACGCTTAGTTAAAACGACTCTGGTTTTATTTCAACACTGGGAATTACGTTCGTTCCCAGCCCGTCATGAGTCCCAAACAGTCCCTCGAGATAAGCACCCACCTTTCTCCCCTTTGAATGGCTGCCAACAACTAAGGTGCCAAATTAACTGTAAAAAACCCAACCGAAGTACAAAGTCCACACAGAGCTTCAAGGTTGAATCCAAACAGCGTGAACGACTTTGCTTCCTGCAAAGGTTTCTCTACCTTTGCGCTTCCTTTATGCCTTAGGGGAGGGGCAACCTCCTCCCAGCCTTACTCCCGAGTTGCCCCTTTTGTTTCAGCTGCTCTTGGCTTCTGGCAGCTCTGTGCATACGCGGACTGGGAACAGGCTCCCCTTGTTCCTCTGCCACGCTGCTGCCAGACTCTGGAGGCTGTGGAATCAGCACCCCACTCCCAGATGGTCCTGGCCCCATCCCTGCATGGGACACAGGATCCTCGCCCGACTCCCAGACTGGTCCCCGTTCTTTCCCACCGTCCGATTCCGCTGCTGCCTGCACCACCTGCCAGCGAACCACAACACATCTTGCTTTGGTCAAGGTGAGGATGGCGGCTTCTCCACGGTGCTGGATTTTCTGGCTTGTTTTGTGAAAGCAGGAGTTTGCTGAGTGGAGGAAGGGAATCTTTTGAGAAGCAAAGGGGGAGAATTAAAAAAAGAGCCAACCAAATCAAACGGGATTTTCGCTGTTGAGCTTTTGACCTTCCAGATGTGGCTGAAAGCCGCAGTATACTTCCTCTTTGGCTCCTGCTGCAACTTGTAGCTTATCCACTTCTGGAAGCCTGCAGCGGTTTTTAGAAAGTGCAATGGAGTTATGGCCCCTCTTAAAAACCATCACAATTTCTTTCTTCCGCAATCTCTTTGAAACGAATCGGTTGGATCCGAAGCTGATAAATCGAGGAGAAATTCACCTCCGTCTTCTCTTAAACCATCCAAAGGGAAACTTAATAGGACTTCGAAAATGACCCTCAGTCCCCAAATTGAGACTCTTGCTTAGATATCACGCTAAACCATCAGGTGGTTTATTTGGTTAGGGCAGTGGTGGGATTCAAAAATTTTTTTCCTACTGGTTCTGTGGGTGTGGCTTGGTGGGCGTGGCAGGGAAGGATACTGCAAAATCTTCCTCCCCTCCCCACCCCACCAACCTGCTTTCCAGCTCTGTTCTCCTGGGCAGGGCAACCAAAGGAGACCCAGCCGATCAGCTGGGACTCAACGGGAGGCAGAGAAGAGACGGGGTTGGCGGGTTCAGTCAGAGGCAGGATTGGCCGGTTCTCCAAACTACTCATCCGCATCCGCAACTTCTGGAGGCAAGTTGTCCCACTGGTGAATTGTTCTAACTGTCAGGAAATTCCTCCTTAGTTCTAAGTTGCTTCTCTCCTTGATGAGTTTCCATCCGTTGCTTCTTGTCCTGCCCTCAGGTGCTTTGGAGAATAGCTTGACTCCTTCTTCTTTGGGGCAGCCCCTGAGATACTGGAACCCTGCTGTCATGTCACAAGAACAGGGATTGGAATTTCAAACCTGAACATGCGAGGAAAAATTGTATTCTGCTTCTGGGTCCGAAGCTGAACGGCCGAAAGGGCTGGGTTTTTTTATGGCTGGTCCATCAATGGCAGTCAATTATATTCCCGCTCAAAAATAGGAACACGGAGTCACTGGCTGCAAAACAAACATTTATGGATCCGTCACTGTTCCAAACCAGCAAAACGGCTTTAAATTCCTGCAACTCACAGGAGGCAGATTTGAGCCTTGGCTGCTTGTCATCACAATAGTCAGCAGCCTGGGCCATTGCGGAGGCATCCAGCAAACGGAAGAACGGATCCTTGGACCCAATTGGAGTCCAAGCGTTTAGGAAATAGATGGGATGACAGACAAACAAAACTTCTTCGGTCTGTGTGGGCCTGTGGAGCGGATAGCAGAATTCAAACCCTCTTAGGACGATGAGAATAGAGCCGGAAGGGACCTTGGAGGTCTTCTAGTCCAGCCCCCTGCTCAAGCAGGAGAACCTGTATTATTTCAGACAGGTGGCTGTCCACTCTCTTCTTAAAAAACTCCAGGGATGGGGCATCCACAACTTCTGGTGGCAAGCTGTTCCACCGGTTAATTGTCCTTACCGTAGGAAGTTTCTCCTTAGTTCCAGGTTGCTTCTCTCCTTGGCTAGTTTCCATCCATTTCTGTCCTTCCTTCCTTCCTTCCTTCCTTCCTTCCTTCCTTCCTTCCTTCCTTCCTTCCTTCCTTCCTTCTCTCCCTCCCTCCCTCCCTCCCTCCTTCCTTCCTTCCTTCCTTCCTTCCTTCCTTCCTTCCTTCCTTCCTTCCTTCTCTCCCTTCCTCCCTTCCTTCCTTCCTTCCTTCCTTCCTTCCTTCTCTCCCTTCCTTCCTTCCTTCCTTCCTTCCTTCCTTCCTGGATTGCAAGGGACCTCAGAGGTCTTCTAGTCTAACCCCCTGTTTTTTGTGTTGCCTTCTGGTCAGTGGTGGGATTCCTTTTTTTTTTTTACTACCGGTTCTGTGGGCGTGGTTTAGTGGGCGTGGCTTGGCGGGCGTGGCACGGGAAGGATACCGTAAAACCGCCATTCCCTCCCCAGTCCTGGGGGAAGGTTAGTCATCCCCCAGGAGTGGGGGAGGGAATGGAGATATGACAGTGCCCTTCCCCTGCCACGCACCACTGGATATAAGTACGTTGTATAATATCAAGATTTATTCTTTTTCCTATGGACTATCCTGTATGAAAAAAGAGAAAAATGGGCGTAACTAGGATGTATAACATCACGGCTATTTTTAAAAGGTGCTGATACAACCAGCATATCGTCGTAGCAAAATTGAAATGGCGATGTAAAACAAAGGAAAATGCACAATGAAAGTTGGTTTGTTTTTTTTTTAAAGGAAAGAAATGTACTTCATAGAAAATTAATAACATGTATTTTTTTTTTTAAAAAAAAAGAAATTTTGGGGGCTCAACGATGATCGTCAGACGAGGATTAGCTGTACTGGTTTAGCTAAGCCCATTTGTGGATTTTGGCCTTTCTGTGCCCACCTGCTCGCTTGAAAAATGTCAACCCCATTTAGAATTAAGTTCCGCTTTTGGTAAAAGTTTGCACACTCTCTGCGGAGATGTCCGAGTCAGCTTCCAAGCATTCTTGAGTCTTCTGGTCTCTCTCACTCAGCCTCTTCTCTTACAAAGGAAAGGGAAAAAAAAAAAACACAGCCTCATCATTCAAAAAGGAGCTACTTGGTCATCAATCTTCCAAGAGGCACCTTCGTTTATTCTCCCCGCCGAGGCTGCCAAAAAAGTAGAGAGAGAAAAATCCAAGAATAATTAAAGCTTAAGTGGAGTTGGATGTCCTCCTGCAGCTGGGGAGCCGAAATCTGAAGAATTTAACCTCGTACATCCGTAACCCTTCAGAAGGGTCAATTTTTATTTTATTTTTTTAAAGCTAGCCTTAAACTGCTCCCCAAACCGTACACCATAAAATAGCTGGGAGATCACGTCACTGAGAGGAGGATTATCCTCCAGCAGGGCAAATCTTGAAAGGGGTCAGCTCTGCACATTTTCCTGTCTGCTTTTTCAAGCAAAGGGGTGGGGACCGGAGAGCAATATATACAATGCAGAAGTCCAAGGTTCGCTCGGAGCGAGGAAAAGTTGTGTGGTGGTGCCACGCAGTGATTGTCAGACGCAAATGTCGGGGTGTTGGCACGATAAAGTAATTTTAGGACGTGTGGGTCCCTTCCTGAGGAGTCTATGTCTAGTCTAATGAAGAAAAGGACTAGATCAATGGTGGGATTCAATTTTTTTTTTTTTGCTACCGGTTCTGTGGGTGTGGCTTGGTAGGCGTGGCGTGGCGTGGCGGGCGTGGCAGGGGAAGGATATACTGCAAAATCCCCCATCCCTCCCCACCCCACTAACCTGCTTTCCAGCTCCGTTCTCCTGTGCAGGGCAACCAAAGGAGACCCAGCCGATCAGCTGGGACTCAACGGGAGGCAGAGAAGAGATCGGGTTGGCGGGGGCCCATTAGAGGCGGTATTGGCCAGTTCTCTGAACTACTGAACGTTTCCACTACTGGTTCTGCAGAACCGGTCAGATCCAGCTGAATATCCCCTCTGGACTAAATAGCTGTCTTCCAATATTTGAGGGGCTGTCACGGAGAAGAGAGAGAGGGAGAGAGAGATTGAGAGAGAGAGGGAGAGAATGATAGACAGACAGACAGACAGAAAGATAAAGATAAATAGAAAGAAAGAAACTTGCAAAAGTCGTAAATGTGAAAAACGGTCCTAAAGTCACATTTTTTTCAGTGCCACTGTAATGTCACTAAATGAATGGCTAGGACTAAGTCTATGTTTAGTTTGACAAGGACCTTGATAAGTGTAATTATGGGAAGATGTGTCTTTTTTTAAACTCTAAGCAACTTGTATTTTTTTCCTTCCTTCCTTCCTTCCTTCCTTCCTTCCTTCCTTC